TGTTACAGGGCTTCCCCAACAAACACACCTGCTTATCAGCAGTGGCCCCGCACGAACCGCAGAACCAGATACGGATAACAAAATGAAAGTTGAGGAAATGGGAAGGGTGTAGCCAGCCCCTCGCAACATGAATCCTACCATCGACAGGTGGGGAGAACAAAGCGCCGTCGACATTGACTAGATCAAAGCACCTCGAAGCCTGCCACTCTTGGGCGGTGGAGGCAGACGCAGAACCGAAACACCTGAGACACTTACGTCGGCACTCCGTGAGCCAATGAGCCGGGAGCAAAGAGGCGAGAGCAGCAGCAGCGGGGCGGGGCGGGATTGGGGGGGGGGAGGGGTTCCCCCCTCACTTTTCCGATCCCTGGCTTCCACGGCTTTATTTTGCTCGGCTTTAAAGACATCACGAGTGGTCCGAAGCAGTCTCATACGCACGAGCATAGCGCGGTGCTCCTGCAATCGGACTTCCTGGCAAACAGACACTGGACTGCCGGCTACCTGAGCCGCGGCGTCAGCCAGACTATCTGCAACCGTGTTCGCAACAACAAGGGCACTGTGGGATTTGCCCGCAACAATGTCATTGGCTGTGGGTGATAAGAACAGATATAAGAAACGGTGGCCGACCATGCAATTCGTCATGAATGCGGGCCCACAAGTCGTCGTCGGGACGAGTGGGCTGTTCAAATTTGCGGGTATACCATCCCGCGGCAAGTGGCTCAACACCAGTAATATACAGCACATACCCTTGAGTGTACTGTAATGCTAGGAAGAATGCGCGAATCTCCCCCTGGCAACAACCGGTCGGCCCCCGCTGAGGGGCCCCAAGATAGACGCCCTAAGAGACAGCGGAGCCAGGGAATTAAAGCAGGCGATCGCAAGCCCTACGCGGCGGAGCCTGGGCCATTTGGACTCAGGCCCCCCCCGACGCGTCTCCTGCAACTAAAAGGGGCTCACTCGAGGTCCCCTCGCCCAAGCAGCCCTCAGACAACCCGTCGAGCCCCTGGAGGTGCCACTGGTCCACGCGAGGAACCTCGGGAACTTGTGTCCACCGTTGGGGCAAGAGACCTCTATGCCAAAACCCTTCATCACTACTGCACTGGGCAACGGCGGCAGGACTCCAGTGGGCGCTAGCCTCATATGCTGGTGATCCCTCATTGTTCTCACACTCCCAGTATCGGTGCAGCAGCGTCTCGGGAGCCACGCCGCACTGATCGCATCAGAGGTCGCCCGCGTAGCGCGCAAGCTGCTGCTGCTTGCGCTCCTTGGGCCAGCAACCTCCCGACGCCACTGCTACCATCGTGCTCGCAAGCTGGTGGCCGTGTGGCGCATTCTCGAGCTGCTGGATGAGGCGCTGGTACGAATCCATGTCCACTTCCCGCTCCAGGCCTCCATCCCCGTAGTGGTTGCAATCCGTGGCCCAGCGGATACGTGCGACGGAGGCCTCCAAATCTCGCAGCAGGTGGTCGTGGACGTCGCGGTGTCTATCCCCCGTGTAGGACTCATCGGGGAACTCCCACTGCTCAACTACACCATCGCCCGTAGCAGAGCTCCATTGCGTGGGATGATGTGGGCCCCAGCCTGCTCTCATAAGTGTGAGGATCACAGCTGCGGTGGGGCCCCACGCGTGGCGGGCTTGGTCCGCAGCTGGGAACTCATGCATCTTGGCATAGATCTTCGGCCACTCCGAGGTAATTCCTCGTCGTATATCAGGGTGGTCCCTCCACGTGCGCAGCCAGAGGTCTACCAGCTGCACTGGGAGTCGGTTCGCAGGGTCACGACGTGGGGCCTGCAGGTCGCAGGTCCAGCACCGTTGTCAGGCATCGCCCGCGGTTCTGTGCTGAACATGCTTGAGCCAGGCGTCATCTTACCAACTGAAGGTGACGACCAAATGCTCCGTGAACCCGATGTCCGTATCGTCCAGCAGGTAGGCCCCCTTGCATGTGCAGCTTGGGCATCACCTCGTATTGCCTGGAAGCACGGGTGAACCGTCTTATCTTAGCCAACATCGTCACATGCTTCTGTTCCCGTAGACGTCGTGCGCTGCGAGCGTGGCGACCGCGCCCGAAGCCCACTCCAAGGTAGGCGGCCTGAGAGACTCCACGCGCAACATAGCCCCTGCGCTTGACCGCGCGTACACTGGCCTTAGTGTCAGCCATCTTCGTCGTCATAACTATCGACTTGGGTGAGACCTTTAGGCCTCTGGTCTCCAACAACTGGCAGGTGTGCACGACGCAATCGGTGATATGGCGCACAATGGCCTTGCTGGATCCAGTCGTACTTTGAGATAGGTCGTCCACCCGCAGCCTGTTTCCAAGGCGAGGATGTGCGACAGTAGTCATCAACATCACAAAATGCGCGAGCGCCTTCGCAAATCTCGCGCCGCTGCGCAGCCCCTGTACCTCCGAGCGAGACGGCTCGAAGGTCATGGTGACCGCACCTGATTGCTCCAGCGCTCTGGGCGATATGCATTGGGCCAGCTCGAGGTGCAGCGCAACCGCAGGATACTCGAGTCTTAAGGCCGCCTGGGCCATTGCTGTCCAGGGTATCGCGTCATAAAATGCTTCAATATCTAAATTCGCATGGCCATGTGACATGGAAAAGGTGTGGCCCCACCCACTGCACGTAGGATGGCCTCCTGGAAACAGGAGTTGCCTCTGATCGCAGCGTCCCAGTCCGCGTGATGGTACTGGGCCCACTCCTGCACGTGGGACTCGCGGATCATAGACCAGACCCGCCCCAACATAGATATCATACCGATCGCCCTGTCAGCTCCACTCTTCTTGGGGGTGAGTTTCCCCAAGATAAGTTGGGTCTGAACCGGCCGCGTCGAACTTCCGATGACACCTTGAAGCTGGTCTGAGACGGGGCTTCGGGGCCAGCCGGGCTGTGCTGTGTTGGGGGCTCATCGGGCTCAGGCTCTGGAGTGCATCTGGAACTGTTAGCTTGATCGGGCTGGCTCGATAGATTAATGGGCACCTTAACATGTTCTCCTTGCTCGGGGGGCTGGATCGAATTGGGGTGGGGACTGGGGGGCCCTGGCTCGACAGACCGTTCACCTTTCCTTGCAGTGCAAGTGGCAGCGGCCTGGGCAGACGGGGCGTCGGCATCTCCTGGCCTGTGCACGGTGGTCTGGCAACCGCTGAGGAGGGGGGGGGGGGGGCAGGATGGAAATCAGACTCATCGGCCCATGGGTCTGGCTCATCTGGCCAGTCGGTCGGGGCCGATGGTTCGGGGTCGGGGAGAGGGCGCGTCGTCTCAGTCTCCCCCGAGGGCTGCGACTGTGAACCCATGCCCCCCGACCCCGTATCAAAACTTGCATGGCCCTGCGACTGCGATGAGAAACAGCCCCCAACAAGTGACGACATATGCTTACATTAGGTCTCATAGGCCTCTTGTTGGGACATGGCGCGCTTGAGCTTGGCTTCGCTACTCTTGGAACCCTCAACAGGCCGCGCAGTCGGTCGAGCAACCTGTGGGAGCTTGCGAGGCAAACCCAGCACGCGGGTGACGAGCTGGAGCCCTGAACTCCTCAGGGCCACATGGGGTCCTACATGCGGGCGCCACGGCGCATCCCTCACCTGGCTGAGATCTTGGACAAACGGGATCGCAGTCGTAGAAAGAAGCACGTAATCCAGCTGTGAGTCTTTTTTATATCACCCTGCGCACGCGTGCCGCCGCCAGGCGCCACTCGCACCTGTCCTCCGACCTCGGCGGCAAACTGGGGGGCCTGCAAGATCTCTGGCGGCGCGTTAAAATCTCCGATCACGGCCCATGGTATCTTGACCGCGTTGAGCATGGCGCCAAGGCGGCTGTGCCGTTGGCGGTTGGCACCGAGCATCCCAGTGGAGGAGTGCCCGTACGTGAAAACAAAGAGGATGCTGTAGCCAACCATGTGGAGCACGATCGGGGACAAGCCGTCGAACGCCTCCGCCCCCGTTGCCGCTAGCTTGGGGCGGGCCGCTCGTGCTTCAGGTAGGAGCTGTGCTTGTAGGCGACGTCTGCGGAAGAACATCTCGCCGCCCTCGTTGGACCTGTGCTGCTTCGCCTTCGAGACGCATTTGCCCGATACCCTGGCTGGCTTAGAGTGCAATCGCAGCTTCTCCCCGCGGGCCTTGGCGCCCCAGCTCTGCAGCTCGTGAACTTCGTGAACGTGAGTTTCGAGTACTCCCCACATTGAGTACTCATGGTAATGGCCAAGTCGATACTTCCAAAACTTGTCGGTGAGCTCCGAGATGTTCGCCACGAACATGTGAGACTCACCGTCAGTGGCCTCCATCTTGTGGGATGAAGGCGCCCCCGTGGTCGTTTGTCAAGCTGTGGGCGAAGCGGGGGCCTCCGCTGCCGTGCTCGCTGAACCCTTGCCTTTGGCCTTGGTGGCCGCGGGCGGCGTGCGCAGTGAACTTGGCGGCAGAGAGCTTGCGCGCTTCCTCCTGCAGCTTAGCCTTGTGGTCCGCGTCATTGGCCCCCTTCTCGTTGTTCTCCTCTTGGTCGACGTCGATGGGGGCCGCTGTGGAGACGGCGGCGTCCAAGCCCTTGGGCTCCTCCTTGGCAGGAGCTGCCTCCGACTCGGCGGTCGCCTCTCCGTTCTTGGACTTGCGCTTCTTGGCCATCCTCTCCGTGATGGACTTCTGGTACTGGCGGGCCTGCTCCAGCCACGTGTGGATTAGCTGGCTACGATTGTTCAGGTCGGAGCGCGTCGCCTTCAGATCGCTGCTCAGCTTCTCCAGGCTCTTGCGCTCCTCCTCCGTGCATTCCAATTCCCCTAGTTTGTCAAAGAAGGCCTCGTCCCACTGAAGGAAGACAGTGGCCTTGCCTGCCTCCTCTGACTGCACCCCCTCCGCGTGAGCGAACGCCCGGGCGGCAGCGGCCTGGGCAGCCTTGGCCTCCGCCAGCTTGAGCGCCGCCGCCTCCTCCTTGGCCTGCGCCGCCTGCAGGTTGGCCTGCAGCCGCACGACCGAAGCCACCGCCTGCTCGTGCATGTGCTCCGCGTGGCGGTGCGCCCCGTCAGCCGTCTTGAGGCTGCCCACCAGGCTGATGTCCTCCGTGAAGGTGGTGCTGCCCCCCAGCCTCTGGAGCTGCGCCTGGAAACCTTCTGGAGCTGCGGGTCCGCGGTGGCCTGCAGCGCCTGCTGCAGGAGTGAATGCACAGGTGGAGCACCGCTGCCCTTGCCGCTGCCGCGCGCGCCCTGGGGCTGTCCGCCGCGCTGGCCTGCAGGCGAGGGCGTGCGGCTGCGGGGCTTGAGGATGCCTCCGTTGCCCGCTGGCTCGTGGTACTCCTGTGCGTCATGGAAGACCTCATCACCTGCCTGATACTGCCGCGAGTCCGTGTCGAATGTGACTGACGTGCTGCGACGCCTCGCGCCAGCAGCACTACGAGCACGTTGGTACAGCGTGACCTTGTCACCACAGTGCTCACAGATGCAGTTGCGCCTCTGTAAAACGGAGTTCCATTCACAGCGTTGGCAAGTGGAGCATCTTGTCCATTGAAATGATTTGCTGATCCATGTCGCCATCCTTGCCTCGGTCTTGGTCGAACCCCTCGAGCGGGCGCGCTCCGATGGGGCAAGTCCCTCAAGCACTGCGTGGAAGTGCCGAGGCACGCTGGGCTCTGTGCCAAAATGGTCCGAACCACAACGGTTGCTTGAGAGGAGGAGGAGGAGGAGGAGGAGGAGGAGGAGGAGGAGGAGGAGGAGGAGGAGGAGGAGGAGGAGGAGGAGGAGGAGGAGGAGGGAGATGCCCGACTCAACTCTGGCCATCCACCCCCCACCATTCTGGCCGCCCCTCTGGAGCGGACGTTTGGGGGGACCCGCAACCAACAGACACCACTGGCAACCCTACCTGGACCTCTCCCGACGGGTACGCGTACCGACTGGCACCTTAGAGGCGAAGTCAGAGCCGTGGCGGCGAGGGCCTACAAGGAGGCCCCACAATGCCACGGGACGTTGCTGCGACCCTGCTGGGCCCGAGCCCTCCCGGGGGTGCTTCCTGGCCGGCACTGTGCGAGGCGCAGCCCACGCCGTGGCGACGAGGGCCTCCCGGGAGGCCCCGGAGTGGGGAAACGGGGGGAAGGTGGGGGTATGGGTACCTTTTGTTTTAGGACGCCCGACATGGGTGCGGGAAACATGGGTACGATGTCCAGGTGTTGTCCAACATCGGCAGCGGCCGCTGTTGGGCAGGCGGCCTTCTGTCTAAAATGGGGGGCAACGCCCGCGGCGGCGCAGACAGCGAGTCCTGTTCAAAATAAGCACGACATGCTGTTGGGCATCGTTCCCGTTCTCACCGTATCCATTTCTCGGGTCGGGCGAAAGGGGGGGATAGCAAAGGGGGGGTTTGAGAATCAGCTCACGTAGCTGATTTTCCCGGCGCCTCCCGGCGCCGGAGGCGGCTATGTATCGAGGAATGGGCCCCTCGGTGAGGCCGAAACCAGCTGCATGCAGCAAATTTCGTAACCCCCCCTTTCCCAATCCCCCCCTTTCGCCCGGCCCGAATTTCGCTCGTGCCGATTGTTCTTCTCTGAGAGGAGTGGGCTCCTGCGACATCTGCACCACCGCGCCCTGCAACATCGCCTCGGCGGACGGGGGCCGCAAAACCGCTCCGCTCGGGCGCGGCGCCCTCCTTCGAGGCCAGACGCTGCACCGCACCCCTTGCGCAAGGTAAATCTACTCAGCCCGCTTTCCTGTCATTCGCGGTGCAGTCAGGCCGTATCATAATGATACGCGGTAAGGATGCACGGGCCTTTCATTTCGAAGCTTTCCGGGCGGGGCGGGGCCCAGAATGGACCGAGGAGGCAAGAATGAAAAGGGTACCCTTGAGAAGGTGGCCAATCCTTACCATGCGGGTTGACTGTAACGCCCGTGACCAGCACCGCGTAGGTCTGCATGAAGCCATTTTTCAAGGACTCGCGAGACAATCAAGAGCAGCCCACAAAAAAACATCGCAAGAAGCACAGCCCTGAAAATCGCTGACGTTTCTAAGGCCAGGGTTGGGACTCTTGCTTAGCGGCTGCCAGTGAAGAAACTCAGGGTACCCTGGACCAGGCGGTTGTTGATGGATCGCGCAAAGCCTCTCAGTGTCAAAATTAGCCTGGTGAGGGACCCAACCATACGCAATTGTGGATACAGCAATTGTGAATACTATCTTCGCCCGCGCTCCCTATGTGGCCACGGCTTCCAGCCGGAGCCCGACATGCTCAGGGGCACGTTTGTGGCCGTCTTCGCGGGCGCCGACGACCACGAGGACGGCGTCCCCCTAACCGAAGAGCAGAAGCAGGAAAGGGTTCTGAGAGCCATGAGGGAGACTGCCATTGGCGCCTTCGGTGGAGCTCCTATGGGGCCACGATCCTCATGAGGGATGTGCCGAAATGGCCCGAGGCCGCCATGCAAACCCTGCCACTGGGGGCCGTCGGTGGAGCTCCCTATGGGGCCACGATCCTCGTGAGAGGTGTGCCGAAATGGCCCGGGGCCGCCATGCGAACCCTGCCGGTGGGGCCTTCGATGGAGCTCCCTATGGGGCCACGATCCTCGTGAGGGGTGTGCCGAAATGGCCCGGGGCCGCCATGCGAACGCTGCCACTGGGGCCTTCGGTGGAGCTCCCTATGGGCCACGATCCTCGTGAGGGGTGCGCCGAAATGGCTCCGCCATGCGAACGCTGCCACTGGGCCTTCGGTGGAGCTCCCGCCACGATCCTCGTGAGGGGTGTGCCGAAATGGGGCGGGGCCCACATGCTAACGCAGCCACTGGGGCCTTCGGTGGAGCTCCCTATGGGCCACGATCCTCGTGAGGGGTGTGCCGAAATGGCCCGGGGCCGCCATGCGAACGCCCACTGGCGCCTTCGGTGGAGCTCCCTATGGGGCCACGATCCTCGTGAGGGGTGGCCGAAATGGCCCGGGGCCGCCATGCGAACGCTGCCACTGGGGCCTTCGGTGGAGCTCCCTATGGGGCCACGATCCTCGTGAGGGGTGCGCCGAAATGGCCCGGGGCCGCCATGCGAACGCTGCCACTGGGGCCTTCGGTGGAGCTCCCTATGGGGCCACGATCCTCGTGAGGGGTGTGCCGAAATGGGGCGGGGCCCACATGCGAACGCAGCCACTGGAGCCTTCGGTGGAGCTCCCTATGGGGCCACGATCCTCGTGAGGGGTGCGCCAAAATGGGGCGGGGCCGCCATGCGAACGCGGCCACTGGAGCCTTCGGTGGAGCTCCCTATGGGGCCACGATCCTCGTGAGGGGTGCGCCGAAATGGCCCGGGGCCGCCATGCGAACGCGGCCACTGGGGCCTTCGGTGGAGCTCCCTATGGGGCCACGATCCTCGTGAGGGGTGCGCCGAAATGGGGCGGGGCCGCCATGCGAACGCGGCCACTGGGGCCTTCGGTGGAGCTCCCTATGGAGCCACGACCCTCGTGAGGGGTGCGCCAAAATGCGGCGGGGCCGCCATGCGAACGCAGCCACTGGGGCCTTCGGTGGAGCTCCCTATGGGGCCACGATCCTCGTGAGGGGTATGCCAAAATGCGGCGGGGCCGCCATGCGAACGCAGCCACTGGGGCCTTCGGTGGAGCTCCCTATGGGGCCACGATCCTCGTGAGGGGTATGCCGGAATGGGGCGGGGCCGCCATGCGAACGCGGCCACTGGGGCCTTCGGTGGAGCTCCCTATGGGGCCACGAAACGCTGTACTGGGTGGGTGAAACGCAGGGAGGAGAGGGGAGGAGGAGAGGAGGAGGAGGAGAGGAGAGGAGAGGAGACGCGGGCCACCGTCTCTTCAAAACGAGGACCCAACACCACAGGATGGTTGGGAACAATTCGGGTGCCCTACCAACTGCAGTTTCGTCGCGACCGCTGCAAGCCTTCAATGCGATTACCAACCAAAGAAGCCCAGGATACCCTGACAGAACGGGAAGGGTCTCTTGGCTTGGGCTCCCACTGTAACGCCCGTGGCGATAACGTCCCGCGCCACCCCCCCTCCCTCCCCCTGGGTCACGTCACGATTCGCGCCAACGCCGTCTGGGAGTCGGCAATTCCTAAGCATTCCTGGGCGGAACCGTCGCGAATTGCGACGTCACCTGAACCCCTCCCCCCTTCCCCCGTTCCCCCAATTCCGGTCACGCCCGTTACCGCCAGGGGATAAGGCAAGGTCTCCATCGAATCGAGGTACTGGGTCGAATCGAGATGTGTATCGGACCGTGCCGCATCGGCACGGAACCAAAATCGAGTCGGATCGGCTGCGCCAGGATGCAGCGCCATGGAGGCATCGGCCCGCATCGAATCGCCGGAATATCGGAATCGAATCGGATCGGGTCGGCCAGAATCGACATCGAGTAGGATCGATCATATCGAATCAGACCTTGCTCACCATGATTGTGTACAGCGCTTGTTGCACACGTTTGTGCTTGCCGCGTTGCCACTGTTATGTGCATTGTCCAGGAACACTGTCTGTCCCGTCGCGTCCCCGTTCGCGTCGAACCTATGTCCAGTACACGTCGGACTCATCGACTCTGCGTCGAATCCACCTCGAATCTGCGTCGAGTCCGGGCCAAACCCGCGCCGAGGCCGCATGGATCCCGCGTCGGACGCACGAGAAGACACCGCATCTGGGGGCAGACGAGGCCCACCGAAGCTGCAACGTCACTCGAGGGACAAGACAGTGCAGATACATGATTTCTCAGAGGCCCTTGCGGACCTCCGGGAAATTACACGTCGGTCGGAAGACGTAGGTGAACACATGAAGTGGGAAGGCGGATTCCGCGGATTGGGTCCAGGCCCCCCCAGGGAATAGCAAAACACAGCAGCAGCGCGTCGATTCCTGAAGTAGGAAGGCGCTTGAAGTAAATTTGGATCTGGGAGTCCAAAAAGACCTACTTTCAACGACCGGCGTGTATGCATGGTCCAGGGTCTGGGCCCGGCCCCCGCCCGCGCGATGGCCCCCCCTCCCTGTGGGAGTGGCGTGCTGCTGTGGGTGGGGCGTGCGTGGCGTGGCGCTGTGGTGCTCCAGGAGAGCTCGCGGAGGTCGTCGTGGCCGCCGCCGCCGCCGCCGCCGCCGTCGTCGCCGTCGCTGTCGCCGTCGCCGTCGTCGTCGTCGTCGCCCTCTTCGCCGCCCTCTTCGCCGTCGTCGTCGTCATCGTCGTCGTCGTCGTCGTCGTCCCCTCCCCATCCCATCCGGGGGGGGGCGTGGAGCCCTGGGGCCCATCCCATCTGGGGGGGGGGCAAGGGCCCGGAACCCTGGATCATGTATTTCGGCGCTGGACAAACCTCCCTTTAGCAGACCTCCCCTTAGTGAAAACGGCCTGGGACCGAAACCGACGGACCTGGACCTGCAAAAATGACGGCCGCGACGCCCTCTCGCGAACCGAAAACGGCCAATTCCTTAATCGACGTGTCAAGATAGGAGGTCTATCCACCTCCGAATGCATTTGGACGCCCGAAATGGGTACGGAAAGAATGGGTACAATGCCCAACAACACATGCTGTCCCAGACCAACAGCGGCCGCTGTTGAGCAGGCGAGCAGGCGGCCTTCTTTCTTAAATGGGCACAGGCCGCGGCGGCGCGGACATCGAGTTCTTTTCAAAATGAACAAGATCCGCTGTTGGGCATTGTACCCATTCTTTCCGTGCCCATTTCGTTCGTGCAGACTGTATACACGTCGGTCGGAAGAAGCAGTCAAGAACATGAAGTAGGAAGGCGGATGAGGTGGATTGGGTCCAGGCCCTCCCAGAGGAACAACAAAACACAGCAAAAGCGTGTCGATTCCTGAAGTAGGAAGGCGCTTGAAGTGGATTGGGGTCTGGAGATCCCAAAATACTTACTTTCAACGACTGGCGTGTATGCTGCTTTTCTGCTACTTGGGCGCCCGAGTTATCCGGAGTAGCTCGGGCCTAGGGTAACTCGAGTAGTCGGGCCTAGGCTCCCGAAGAACGAACCCGAGGTAGCCCTGACCCGAGTTACCCCTGATGATTTGGGGCTCTGGACGCCCGAACTATCCGGGGTAACTCGGGCCCGGTGTAACTCGGGCTCGGATTCCCCCAAAACGAACCAGAGTTAGCCCTGACCCCAGGTACCCCTGATGGTCTGGGGCTCTGAGCTACAGCCAACCCGTATCAGAAGGACGCACGATAAGGATGCAGTGGCCTTGGAAGGCCATCTCGAAGCTTTTGAAGCGAGGCGCGGCAAACGAGAGTGGCCAGGATGCACCGAGGAGGCAGGGATGAAAAGGTGCCCTTGCGAAGGTCGCCCATCCTTCACATGCGGGTTGACTGCACTCGAACCACTGTTGCTGCTCGAAGCCTTGGGGCCTCGTGCAAGGCCCGTGGCGGCCCGGCCCGCGCGCTGCCCGCAGCGGGACCGTTCCGCGCGAACGAGGTTCCGGCAACAGGCAACTCAATTGGCAACCCTGCTCCCTCCTCCCTCCTCCCTCCTCCCTCGATTAAAATGCCATAAACATAAACTGCTGGCGGTCCGCGCGGAGTTTGAGGGTCGGCGCTGGACCCCCTCCCCGGCGCGCGGGGCGCACTAGGGGCGGCGCCAGAGGCACCGCCACGGGGCTCTAGCGCCGGTCCGAGAACTCCGCGCGGGCCCCCCGAAAGGCCACGTTTACGAAATGTGTGGTTAGCCCATTGATCCATGGCTTTGGACGCCCGAAATGGGCACGGAAAGAATGGGTACAATGCCCAACAACAAATTCTGTCCCAAATCAACAGCGGCCGCTGTGGGGCAGGCGGCCTCCTGTCTTGAATGGGCACAGGCCGCGGCGGCGTGGACAGCGAGTCCTGTTCAAAATGAACAGGAACTGCAATTGGGCATTGTACCCATTCTTTCCGTACCCATTTCGGGCGTCCAGAATGCTTACCCGTCCGCGATAAGGAGCCCGCACTGGACGTACGCGCCAAGCCGCGTACATGAACATGCACCCCCAATCCGCGAGGCCAACCTCGTGTTGTTCCCGTGCGCGTGATGCGCACTTTCGAAACCAGCGTGGATTCATATACATGTACGTCCCTCTGTCGCCCCTGACCCGAGACGAGCAACACCGCACCGCACCACGCAACGCATAAAGCCTCAGCACAGGCTCTCCTGCATGACATTCGTGATGCGGCATGTGTGCTCGATCCTGGAGCTCCTCCCTCTCCTCCTCCTCCTCCTCCTCCTCCTCCTCCTCCTCCTCCTCCTCCTCCTCCTCCTCCTCCTCCTCCTCCTCCTCCTCCTCCTCCTCCTCCTCCTCCTCCTCCTCCTCCCCATCCTCCTCCTCCTCCGCCCTCTCCTCCTCCTGCTCCTCTTTGTCCTCCTCCTCCTCCCCCTCCTCCTCCTCCTGCTCCTCTTTGTCCTCGTCCTCCTGCTCGTCCTCGTCCTCGTCTCTCTCCTCCTCCTCCTCCTCGCCCCCTCGAGCCTCCGACCCCCCAGGTGCTCTGCCTCGGCACGGGAGACGAAGCCAATATGGGCAGTCGGCGCTAGATCCATGCCCCTGCTTCTGCCATCCACTACAGTGGGGGCTCGGCCACAGAAACCTTCGCAAGAGACCCGGCCCCGAATTCCATGATCTCGTCTGTCAAAATCCAAACTTGTCGATCGGAAATCGTCGAGATCTTATTGGGGGCCCATCGAAATCTAAGAAACCCAGGGCACCCTCGCAAAATCCCACTGGTTCCTTGGCACGCGCCCCCACTGTATGGGCGCCATGGGGGCATGGCATGAATGAACACTTTGCTTCAACGCCGTGGTAGACTGACCGCCGAGAATCAGGAGAGGGCGCGCGCCTCGATTGTATCGCAAGATGTACTGTGTGGCGCAGTCGTGCCTCGCGCATCGTCCGTTGAAGCGAGGGTACGCTGAAACACTCACATGGCCGTGCGCGCCTCAGAAGCACACGCATCCTCCCCCCCCCAGGGTCACCGAAACCCTTACAGTCAACCCGTATCATAAGGATGCGTGGTACAGGGCAGCTTTTAATACATAGGATGTTTAAACATATAGGATTTTAATACATGACTAGTCTATCAACAAATTTATGCATGAACTCACCGTTGTTTGAATACTGAATCCCTGCATTTTTAATACACGATCCGCACGCGGAGCATGTATGAAGAACGGCACTGTACAGTCAAACCGTATCATAAGGATGCGTGGTAAGGATGCAAGGGCCTTGGAGGCCCATGCGAACGTTTTTCGAACGAAGCTGGCCAGCGAAAGTCGGTGAGGCTGGGCCGAAGGGGGGAAGGACGGCAAGGGGGGTACCCTTGGGAAGGTTGCCCATCCTTCCTACGCGGGTTGACTGTACCTTTAACTCGGGCATGCCCCCCTACAGGCAGATTTTGGAGTACAGTGGGGGCCAGTCCACAAGAACCCTTCCACAAGAAACCCAACCCTGAGACCCCAGGACGTCCATTGATTTTCGAGTGTGGGAACGTCGCGCTCTCCATGGCAAAACCATGGAGATCCAAGAAACCCAGGGCACTCTGGAGGCAAGCAGGGTGTTCCTTGGCATGGGTCCCCACTGCACCTCCCTCCACAGCTCCTCCCGTCCGCTCAGATCGGGCCGGGCGAAAGGGGGGGAATAGCAAAGGGGGGGGGGTGAGAATCAGCTCACGTAGCTGATTTTCCCGGCGCCTCCCGGCGCCGGAGGCGGCTATGTATCGAGGAATGGGCCCCTCGGTGGGGCTGAAACCAGCTGCATGCAGCAGATTTCGTAACCCATCTTTCCCAATCCCCCCCTTTCGCCCAGTCCGATCAGAGGCTCCCAGAGGTCTCCGGAGGGCCCAGGGCCGGAGGCAGCCAGGGGCCTCCAGGGCGCTGAAAGCGGCAATACCGAAACCCAAACCTTGGCTCTGGCTCTCGATCCTCAGGCCGCCCCCTCCCGAGACTCCAGGGGCCCAAGGACACACAAATAAATACACACAAATAAAATAATTCCCCATATGTTCCCCATATTTTCTGGGTTTTGTCTTCCCGCCAAATTCCAATATTTTCCAATATTTTTTGGGGATCGACGATTAATTGTGTCTGTGTTTTTTCCCCTCCTGAAAGACTCCCGACGTCGCGCTTTTTTTTCACCACTTGGTCTCCCTTGAGCTTCGCCGGGTCGACCACGCGCTCCTGCACCGGTCAACGCACGCACTGCGCAGCCGCCGCTGCTGGTCAGTCCCGGGAGCCCCATCCATCGCACGACTCCCTCGGGAGCCTGGCCTCGCCAGCACTCCCCGCGGAGTTCTGCATGATCCGAGCGCGCGTTCCGCCTTCGCTTCCCGCCACCGAATCCCGCATTTCCAGATCAGCAAAAGGATCTGAGTCATGTCGTATAACCAATGCAAGAAAAGCAAACTACGTGGAATGGAGAACCACAAGAGCATGCCTCGGGCAAGCTCGTCCCCCCCCGCGCAGTTGGATGCTGCGCCCGAAAACATTCGATCTGGCGCTCGGGTCCCTCTTTACCTCCTTGCGCCTCCCTCACTCGGCTAGCGTTTCCGCGTCCCAGGTTGCCGCTCTGAACGCGCTCAGCGACCGAGAGCGCTGCGACTAAAAAGGCTAGGCTGCTTCGCCACTTGCCTCTAGGCCGATGAGTCGTTTTGTTGACGGTGCTGGGGCCTGGGAAGGGCCCCCTGTGGCTGTTCTTTCGCGACGCACCCGCCGCGAAAATCTCTTCCTCGTTCTTCTATGGCGCACGACACCATGGGGCGCGCGCGAAGACCCTGGCAGCGCTCCTCGTCCACGCAAGCCCGCTCCAAACCGGCCCCTGGATCCCTCCCCTGATCCGTCCTGACGGCGGGAATGTCATCCTCCTGGGTGCACGTTTTAAGACATCAGAAATCCACCCCCATAGTAACCACCCCGACACGCGAAGCCGTTTCGCACACGCGCCCAGAGAAGGAATCGAATAAGGCAAGGCTGTTGAATAAGCGCCCAAGGCCATTTAGTAAACGCCAATTGTCCAGTCCGGGTGATTTTTCCTCTCTTGAGTTTTACTCCTGAGCCCCGAAACGAGCCAATTGGATACCGAAATCGCGGAGCAATCCCGGGGTGTTC